AACAATGGCTCTGAATCCATTGGAAAATTGTAGAAACATAGATCACAATCACATACAAAATCTTCCCAATCATAGACTCCATTTTGAATTGGTGCTATAGGTGAAGAGTAGGTGAGAGCATGGTTGTCAAAATTGCGATTTTACTTGTAAAACCACTTAACTTTACTCATAAAATCACACAATTTTACGATTTTACTTATGTAATTCGTGTGAAATCAAAATTAAAATCAAGATTTTACAAACTCGATACAGTTAAATCGTAAAATCGTAAAATCCTAAATTCGGATAAAATCAAGATTTTAGAAATTTAAAAAGTTTTATGGACTTTTGTGTTAAGATGTAACAAATAATTACTGCCAGTACATTGGTATAGCTGTGTTTGTAGATTAGTTTTCGATTGATTGGTGATGGTTTGAATCTTTACCATCTAAATTGACATTTTTGAGTTTTTCAAGCAAAATTTTAAAGTTTTGTCAATTTTTTATAAATTAAATTAATAATATTTTATTATAAAATTTTTTAAGGTCAAAATTATTAAAATTTAAAATAATTTAATAAATATAAAATAGAAAAATGTTCAAAAAAAATTTGAAATAATTAATTAGTAATAAAATTTATTAGATAAATTTTAAATTTAAACATTTGATGTTAAATTTGAATAATATATAAGTTCTAAATTAATTTAATAAATTTTAAATTTTACTGATTCGATTTTACGCTTCAAATTTTATCTCACCAAAACAATTTTATTTAAAATCTCGATTTTGACAACCGCCCCTGTCCTCTTGCTCCTCCATCCGAGAATCAAGAGTGTCTAGCTGCTCATGGACATCATCCATGGCTAGCTCGAGCTTGACCAGCCTACTCTCATAGGCTGTAAATGCATCCCGCGATGCTGGCGACAATGCCTTGGACCTCCTCGTCCTCTGAGTGTCCCCACGGGTCTCACGACGGCCCCTCTCCTCTGGAACCTCTACAACTTTGCTAGCTTCAGCCCCCTGGTTTGCCATCGTCACGATCCTCTTCCACGTAACTAGGCTGTCAAACCTCGCCCTAATACCACTTGTCACGGGACGAGACTCTAGCTGGTCACCGTCCGGCACTTAGCTTGGCTTTAACCCCTTAACCAAACCAAGTCAGCCTTCCCTTGATGCTGGGCACAGTCCACCTATGGGACTAAGAGGTTAGTGAAGCTTAAAATGCAAAGGCTGGAGGTTGGGAGAGAATGAGAGTTTATTAGACACAAGGAAAATTTACAAGAGCTCGGGTATATGCTTGGCTAATGAGAGATCTCAAGAGGTCGCTAGCTTTGCACATGACCTGTGGTCTTGGGCCGGCAAAACAAGCACCTTTCATAAGCACAGCAAGCATCAGGTATGTCCTGGTTGCATACAGGGCATGGCCAGTTCTGTTGCTCTTTACCCACATCACAGTCCTGGTTGCATCTAGCAATGTCTTCTATAAAGCCATGTTAGATGCCACATCGGATCCACGTGGCATTTGATGATGTGACATTTATCCTTAGTCCTAATTTCATTTTCTTTACTTTTTTTTTTAATAATTTTTATAACTGATTGATAACCCTCCATAAAGGGAATTGATTAGCCCACAATGTGTAGATTTGTGCTCATCTTCTGATTTTTTTTTTTTTTT